CTGAAACACTAAATCAGTTTACACAAACAAATTACCCTTCAGAACTCCGGTAACCTTGGCACCATAGGATTTACAAGAAAAATTAAAGGTCGAATTCGTATGTTTGAATTTTTCAGAGAAGCTTCAGCATATCATCAGTGTCATGTTACCAATATCAGTCCTCTTATCTACCTAGGCCATGTTGGTTTGAATAAATAAACTTGCTATGTTAAAATTTCGTGTCCATTAGTGTTGCACAATGTAAATTAAATAGTTTTTAGTAACAAGCAGTTACTTAGGCCCTAGCAGACACCTTCAGAATCAATCATGTTATGACGACCTACTGCAGGAATTTCAAGGCAGCATGTATTTTCTTGCCACACGTTTTCTCATCTTATCGGGGTAAAGGTGGTGCTTTCAGTATTGGCAAACTGTCATGTACTAATACGAGAAAAATCGCTTTCGTCTTTCGTGTTCTCTTGGCAGACAGAACACCCCATTTTAGTGTAATTCATCGCGCTGTGCATCTACGTTTCAGGCAGAACTCGAAAGTGGGAAAAGACATGCCGACTCAGCTGTATGGAACTAGAATGATGGCAACATGAACAACTATCACTTAAAAGTCACAAATATTTCTGTGCTTTTATTAGGAACCATATACAACCAACCAGCCCAAGTGATAGACACAGTGAAGGGTCAGTGTTCACTGAGAGCTCCACATGATGACCATTGGGTCGTCAATTGTTGCACTCCTAGTGTTTATGCTACCTTGTACACCACAAGGCCTACAGGGCTGTTTCACATTCTTTCCCGAGATTGTTCTTAAAGACGTTGTTAAGCGACACATACATTCTGTACAAGGGCTCCTCTGCAAAAGTACCGAGTAACGCCATGTAGGAAGTGCTCCCCAGTCCAGAAGACCGTGAGGCGCATTGTAGGAGGCTTCCTGTACACCGGGCCAAGGATTCGCTGCAGAAGAGTCTATTTACACACCTGCACAAACAAGAAGAGGAAAATGAGTTTTTGGATGAAAGATTGTTTGGAGATTTCGAGAAGATATTGCATGTAAGCGAGAAAATCCTGTGAATTCACCTTTTACCCAATACCCAAAAAAGAAATGCAATCAAGACATGTCACAATGTACATGTAAAGAGGAACGAGAAATGAATTATACATGGAATAATAATGAAAAAAAAACACTATATGAGGGTCATGTGGTGAAAGAAGGCTTTCTAATGCATGTAATTTGATGCATAGCACAATCCGAAAATCACACCAGGTGTCAAAACATGTGAATCGTGCAATGAGCGGGTGGTTTAAAGCTGCCCGCCCATTGCAAAGTGTGCAGCTGCGCAAGTGCACATGGCATCTTTCAGACGAGTAGTACTGGGTACTTTGCCAATTAGAAAAGTGAAGAACTATTGTGTAATCATGGTCGTCGACAGGATTTTTTTTGGAGGGGGCGTGCAAACCAGTGTTGCATTGCGGCTGGGAGAGGGGAAAGCAGTGGTGTAGCTTGGCTGAGGGCAAGTGCTGGTGAAGCTTGAGGGGGACAGGTGCACCCCTCTGCCAATGCCAATGGGTGTAATGCCATAGTGGGCACTTGGGAACTACACAACTACACATCAAGTAAACATCCTCGGACAACTTGAAATGGCCAATGTTACCTGCACAAAAGTTCCTTTTTTTTTTTACAACAAGAATGAAGGTGATGTGCTAGGGGCCGATTACACTATCGCATTTTACTCTTGACGACAAAACTCAAGCATCCTCCAAAATTTTTTTTCTTGTCAACCTCTGTTATAATGTAGGCGATCAATTATACCCATTTTTCAGTTACATCAGTGTCCTTCATAAAGCGGTTAGACTGCATTGTAGTGCATGGTGTGAAGCTACATTATGAGAATCACAACCAATCGGCAAATGTCGTGGACGTCAAATGACCTCCCAGTTCTCAGGCAGCAAGAGGAGCCCTGACACGAAAGTTCCGAAAACGAGATCAGTTATGACACAGATTTGTGTGGACACACACAAGTCATCTGCAAAACATGAACAGAAGATGTAGCCATAAACTTATTTAAAATAAGTTTCTTGACCTGTGCAAATATCAAAATTTTGAGTGCAAAAAGAATTCAAGTATTTAAATGTGAACCAAATCGAATATTTCTATAATGTTTTTCGAATAGCTCGACACGAAATTGTGGGCAAAAAAAAATTGAAAAAAAATTTATGTCAATTTTTAGCTTCATCACATTACACAGTCGTACTGCGGCAAAGCTGCCTTTAACGCTCCGCTACGGTCGAATTTTTTAAAGACTGTCAGTCCAATTAAAAGTGACCACTTTAGATTTTATATATGCATCACTTCATCACACACTTATATTGCGGCAAAGCTTCTTTTAACGCTCCACTACGCTCGAATTTCTCCGAAAACAACCTCCAAAGTGCCCCTCCAGTTTTTTTAATATGCTTCGTCTCAATACATTTCTATATTATGGCAAAGCGGCCTCTGAAGTTCCGCTACGGTCGCAAGTGTATTGGCTCGAGTAACGGTAAAATAAAATGTTGGGCGAGTTGGTGTCGGTTTCTAAAAGAGGGGCGCGCAAAATAAACAGCACACAAGAAAAAGAAGGAGACAGGACTGCGCGATTCATCCCGTGCTCTCTATTTCCTTGTGTGCTGCTTATTTTGCAACCCCCTAAAATTAAGGTGGAAAGTCAGCAAAATCAGATACCAAAGACTTTTAGCGTGCTAATTTTCAGATGTTCTTATATATTGACGTCTACAAGACAGATTTGGAACTCTGAACTGGAAGGCAGCACACCCTTGTCTGCCACGTCAGTTGGGCTTCCAGAGAAGTTGAAAAAGGAGATCAGGCTGAGAATACAGCATCGTTGCCTTTCACGTCCCGAGTGTTGTCAGCAACATCTTGGTTGCACCAAATGCTGTACATACATACAATTCAGCCTCCGCATTGCATCACTCTTAATAAAACAACCATGGAACATCACCCCACCAGTGCTTGATCAACCTAGCAAAAAGAAAAACTTGCTTGTTGCAATTTCATAAGAACTAACAGACAATTATGCCAAGGCAATAATGCTCTTCTTGGCATTATTTTGCATTGATTCTTATTAATATTGTGTCTAACAGAAAAGCAAGCCTTGAAAATTTCCATGTCTTTCCTTGTCTCATGTGCTAAAGAATCGTCTCCAAATTTTTTTCTGCAGTTTTGCCACGAATAATTAAAAAAAATATTCAATTTGATTTACACTCACACTTTAATATTCAAATTTGCTTCGCATGCAAAATTTTCCTATTTATGCAGCTCATTTCTTCAGCATGTCATCAAGGTTTGTGGCTTATTCACTGCTATTATAATTGGTAATTTTTCCACACATTTTTCATTTTTCATTTTTTTAATATTCACATGTTGTGCCTCTCTTGCTTGAATCGTGATTGAGCACTCAAAAGATGAATGAATGGTAATTAAATTTGCACAGTTTCTTACACTACATTTCCTCATCGCAGCCTTTAAACTAGGTTTATACAGTCTCTATATTGTCTTTTAGCACAATAGTGATAGAGAGCCCATGTCACAAAAACTCTGGTGCCAGTAGCATTTTCTTAATGTCACGGTGGATTCAAATAATGAAGGCCAGGGGCTCCATCCGGAATCAAACCCATGCCTTCTACGTGGCAGCCATGTTCTATCACAGAACCATGCCAACGATTGAAGCTATTCCGGAAAAAAAAACCTTTTTAATTGGGTGATGCAGGCCAGAAAGTCTAGTTAGCAGATGTAACACTGTGTGTAAGAAGCATAAAATTGCATGAGGTGATGCACCACATGAACGGGACAACAAATGGGTGGTCCAAAGAACCACTCATTAGAAAGCACTCGGAATCATCAGCAGCAACAGCATCAACAAAATGTGCGGCTGTATAGAGGAACATTATGCCACACCGATGCGTAGAGAGTACTCCACTGATTCGTTAAATGATTAAATGTGGTGTACTGGGCACTTTGCCACTATGCTTGCAGAAGGCATGTGCTCTAAGAGAGTAAGAGCAGCACAAATTCAGCACGGTGATCCAAGAAGAGACTCAGACAGCAGCTTATCGGTCTCTTCTTGCATCTCCATGTTGGATTCGCGCAGTTCGTATTTCATAAAGCTACAGCAACTACTAGCCGAAAGTTTGACTTTATTAGGTTGTATCTCTTAGAAAGATTTTTGCACGTACAGACATTCTTTACCCTGCAGAAGCTGTAGAGGTGTCCACCAAAAAGTGAAGCCTGACTAATGAATGTGAAGGCGTTGTACTCAGGTCCGTGACTAAGCTACTGTGTTCTACCTCTGAAGTCAAACATCAAGTGTTCTTCAAGCTTTCATGATACATGAAGCATGAAGAAGCAGTGAAAATTCTTTTATGTTAGATTGATGCTTTTTCCTCCGTCATTCTCAGTGCAGACATAAAATGAGGAATAATTTTCCAACATCAATAACTGCCATCGATTCACCTGTACTGGAATGGCCGAACATTGCAAAATCATAATTCACATTTCTATTTAATTGTTCTATTTTTACTTCTTGATTGTTTTCCACTCAGCTCTGCAATGACCTGGTTCCTGATTTAGTGTATGTCAAACAAATGAAAACAAAAAATTCAGTGACGCACTGCCTGGTAGAGTCTCTATTTTCAGTTACGTGTTGGTGCCCAAAGCGTGGAAGTTGGTAGAGGTCGCAGCTACAAACCACAGCTTCTGCCATAAAAATTCTCAAGTGATAACGTTATCCACACACAGGAATCATCATGTTGGAATAAACTATAAAGTCAGTTTTCATTTCTGCATTATCCAGTGTATGTAGGTCTAGTAAAGTAGACAGAGCAAAAGTGCTTGCAAAGCCCTATTGGGTTCACAGCCTAGATTGCCTGATTTGTGGGCCTGACCTGATCTCACTTCCCCAGCATATGCAACGTCACCATGAACGCACCGGCGATTGACGTTGCTGCGTCAGTCAAGAGGAGGTCAGGCCATCCTGAAGGCGCAACCAAGTGTCTGGCCCAAGCGCCCGAGCGAAGTGGTCGTCCACGGTGAGTGCCGAACTGGCAGGTTCGGTTGGTCCAGCAAACAGAGCCGCGTACTGAGGCCCGAGTGACCTTCTGAAGTGCGCCTCCACCGCGGGGTCCGGTTGATCGGAAGGTCCGCGCATGCCCGTCATGCCGGACACTGTGGTTGTTGAGCTCCTCAGCAACCTCGACGGCTCCCGCTCCTCATGCGAGGGCCGCACTGCTGCTGAGCAGCGCCGAATCACCGAAGGCCGCGAGCGTCGCATGTCGAGTGGCTGCAATGGCTCGACATCAACTGGCACCATTGTCGTACAGCCGGGGCTGCTTTTCACTGGGGGGCGCCGATGATGATGACGTCGTAAGGGGTAACGGAAGCTTGCGCTTCTCGGCTGCTGTAGGACCACACCTGTACAAAATTCCAATGCAACCACATCTTCCATGTAGGACCAGTACATCAGATAGTCCCCTATGAAACATTCACTGCCCAGCAAGAACCCAGGAGAATGCCAAAAATTATTTTTCATACTCACCTTTCAATGGAGCTTAAATTCTCTCACTCGGTTTTCGCTTATTATGACAGAACAACTGTTCTTCACTGAAGTACATGAGAAACATGGTACCAGAAGAAGTGGACAGCATAGCATCTGTGCCTCTGTCATCCACTTATTCTAGTCCCCTGCTTCAGTAGGTATGAATTTCAAACTCGCCCAGTTTTCAAAACTCTTAGCAGATGCACTACGACGAACTATGCATCATTACTACGAGCAGCAGATAAAAAAACAATAGATTCAATGAATGTTTATACTTGGCTCAGCACCTTATAACTTATCAGTATACCCGATAACTTGTAGTGTGATATTCCCAAAGCTCTATTATTTTTAAATGGAGAAACAGGAGTCAACAATATTATGGCTGACATTCGGAGAAAAAAATGAACCACTGTAGGTGACATTGTGACAAGGATGAAAACAGATGGCCAGTTAGAATGTGTGAATGAATACCAAGAAATAAGAAGCGTGGCCGAGGATGGCAAAGGGTTGGTTAGAGTGAGGAAACCTAAATATTTAGAGGCATAAAATGGAATCGACTCGTGCATGATGATGTGGGTTAGTGATTATTGGAAGAGCCCTTCGTCCCGCAAAAGACGCAAAACAGGCTTATGATAATGACGAAATAATCAGATGTGTCAGTGTTTATAGTATGTCGAGGGTGCACAGATACGTGCAAATTGCATCCGTACAGTGGCTACACCAAGTGACTAATAGTTTAGTAAGTAATGCTACCTGATCTTTTAGTGTCTCAGCAACACAAACAATGCAATTTAATGTGATCTGAATTAAGAAGCCGATGAATGCCTGCTTCAGAGAACACTTCATTTCTAACTAGAAGTAAATTAAATAACTGAGTCAGCACAACTCATTATTTTAACATGTTTAAAGTGTGAAATAAAGGACACAATTTCAGAGAGCCACTCTAAAAGCACTCGACCAGTGGTCCTAAGTAAGAGCTTTTTGCGTACAGTCCTTTTTCACTCATTTTATGGGTGCAGTCATTTTTCAGTTTTACTTCGACACATAGAGTCTGCTTTCTAGTCTTATGTGCTCCAGCTGACATCACATGATCCATCACTGTCATTTTTGTGATTCTGAAAATTTGCACCATAATGCTGCAGGTAAGTGGACAGAACTTTCTTCGTTCATTCAACTCTCCTATACATAAACACACTTAAAACAAACATTTTTGGTTGTGTACATTTATACTCATTGGATGCTCTTTCATTGCTCAGAGACAAACAAGGATTACCACTTAGTATGAGTTTGATGCAACATGCATAGCTTTCATTTATTTACAATACACGTATTCAATGCAAGGGCTGCACTACTCAAATGCACATAATGTTCAGTTGCCTTGTTTTTTCTTCTTTCTTTCTTTCTTTCTTTCGACATTGCATTTTTTTGGGTTTCACCCACAGTAGCAGTTGAGCTGTTCCCAAATGTTGGCCCGATCTCATATATGCTTGAACTTTACAACATGGCATCTTGATACTTGAACTTGAAAGGGTCTTGCAACACTTTTAAAGGCAAAGCTCCTTATGATGTGGCCCAGTCCCTCCACTGTAGTAGCCACACCTTACTTCTTACAATGTTCACTAGATGGCACTGCACTGTTAAAGTACGTGAAGTGACTACTAGATGGCGTGACGAGTATGGTTTAGTTTGATAGTATGGCAGACAGGCAGACAGACGGACGGACTTACAGACAGACGAAGCAAACACTTCACACTAAAGCTTATTCACAGAAACTAGCCAAGTTTTATTATACACCAAACATGGAAACATGCGTGAAAGCACCATCTAAAAACCGAAGGACAGCTATTGCATCTGAGTTTTAAAAAAGTCATTCTTAATAGGCATTATATTATTATGCACTCTTAATACGACTGTGGACCAAGTACAAACTCGCCCGAATTTCTGTACATGATTATGCTTTTTTATGAAGCATTCAGCAAGCATCACTTGAATAGGAACATGAAACTCGACCGTCAAAACAATCCGCGTTCAAGAATACGACAATGAAAACAACAAATTAAGCCATTAATTCAAAATTAATTCAAACACTGGTAACCATATGAACACTAATAAGATGAATAGGGCTAGTAGCAACAGCAAAATATTCTGGCACAAGTGTGAGCTCACCCTCTTTCCTTTACAAAGAATTGAACCTTTTTTGGTAGGTTTGCAGAGGTCTAGTATGCTTTTTATTTACGCTTTTCATGAGTGTTGTGTTTTCATGAGCCAATAACGAAAAAAAAAGGGTTTGTATGTGCCAGGAAATGTACCAGACATGCTAGCCACATTTTCCTCGGCGCTCAAGCTGAGCCATAGGCGGAGGGTTTTAACATTCCCGGAAGGGGCAGGGCAGTGGGCTTGCTCTTTCACATTTCTTTTTGTCTCCCTTTGTATGTGTGTGTGTGTATATATATATATATATATATATATATATATATATATATATATATATATATATATATATATATATATATATATATATATATATATATAAGTGAGAAAGACTTATTGAAAGCAATACGAAGATAATTAACAAATGTCTGTTGCATAAACAAACTTTCATTTTCCTGTACGTATGAGTGCATTCTGTACCTGTTTTGCACGAAAGCCATGCAAATGCCGCAATTGGCATCGCCCTGTGAATTCATTCTCAATGTGACCACGGCTTTGGACTGCCCCGTGATTGAATTTTAAAAGCATTAAAGGTGAACGAAGCGGACATAAATAGTCCCCCGTGAAATAGCTTGTAAAACAGGATGGCCAACAGTCTGTTGCCAGTAGACGAAAGCCTTAGCCAAGCTCTTAGAAGTATCCTGGGCTGCCGGGAAAAGGTCTGAACCCTCCAGCTCTCCTGTACTCTCCATCTATGACCTGAGCTATGCCAATCAAAAGACAATGCCATATCAAATTTACCGATCTGCCATGCTCAAGAATTACTATATCACTGCAGCTTAGCAGTAAAAGACAAAGAAAAAAAAGAACCAGAGTGGAATGTGAAATACCAATGTTGCAGTGAAAACTTCATCATGCTGTACAATAAAAACTATCATCAGAATACTAAACTATGAAGTAGAAGAAGTGAATGACTGAGATCTCGCTGAGAACAGAGACAATGAAAACAGTTCAACCATTGCTGAACCTCTATGAACAGAAACCTATGTACCACAACGAAGACAATGCATAACAACGAGGCATCCAAGAAGAATTCAGAAAATTTCAGAATCACTTTAATAAAGGGACACAAAGTGAAACAAAGAATCACTTGGTTCTGACAAACTTATGCTTGAGCATTTTTATGTTAATATTCTGAACATTTACTCATTATTAAAAGAGAAAATAGAGGTCAGAGTTTCATTTTTAGATTTTGCGCACAAACCTTTGTGCAAGAATGTCAGCACAATGTCGTGCATTTTAAGTCACTTCTTTCATATTTCAGCCCCAACATTTCAGCTAAAGATCTTGCATGTGCCGTTTAATGTCTCTGGCCCCCGGAAAGCAGAGTGTACTCCAATTTTCATTGATTAAAAACCTAAGTAAGATTTATTAGGTGCTGTCAGAATCTGTGACTGCCACAGTGGATTGTGTGAGAATTTACAGGTGTTGCCACCAGCATTTTCTTCTTTGCCCTTGTCTTCTTGTGGATAGAGTTGCATTTCTTAAATTTTGAAAAGCTATGACATGTCTGCCCTATGGAGCAGCGACCTCAGATACCCTTCACTGGGTCTCTATAGCATTTGGTAAAACTCATTGGTGTGCCTTTTAAAACACATCTGTGTTCTTGTTGTCCACGTGCTCTTTTTTTATCTTCACATCAGTGATTATTATTCCTAACTTATCAGCAATTCTAATTATCCTTTCAACCTCAATACTTTTTACTCAGCTCACTGCTGTTTTGATGTTTGTGTGCTGTTTTAGCCAGTTAAAGGTACACTAAATACTAAAATGAAAAAATGTTTTTGTATTTCGTGTACCTTAAACTGTCTTCAGTGGCAAAACGCTCATACTGAAGAAGACATTTACTCTGGGTGCTGGTGCATGCACAGTGGCAGAAGCAATGGTAGCCAAGCGTAGAATGCCAAAAAGCAACGTGGACCAAGGATCATGATTCAGAGTGGTAGATACCACAACACGCACTAGTGTTGCAAGCCATTTAATCAGTGCCTAGCAATGACATGCATGGAAGAGCAGTGGAAAACAGTGTTGGTCAAAACATTAGACTGGCCAACAATAATGGAATGCATTTTGATGTTGCGATGTAGCATCTTTCCAAGCCAAAGAACAGTGGAGAGGTGCTATAGCCGATGCAGAAAAAGCCTAAAAAAACAGGACACAAACATCAAAACAGCAGCCAGCTGAGCGAAAAGTGTTGAGGTTGAAAAGATAATTAGAATTGCTGATAAGTTAGGAACATTACACACTGACGTGAAGAGCGCATGAACAACAAGAACACAGATGTGCTTCAAAACGCATACCAACAAGTTTTACAGAATTCTATAGAGACACTGTGTAGGGTATCTGAGGTCGCTGCTCCATAGGGCAGACATGTCGTAGGCATAAATAGGAGATTAGCAGCTGCACAAAGGGACCATTAATCAGGTTATCAGAGTCCGTTGCATTGTCTTGGTAAATATAAACCAAAATATTGATGAACATGCAGTTTTATATGGGCACATGAACGAAGGAACACATCTAGCATTTAAGGCTAGGTATATCGATACTAGTGGATGCATGTGCGC